TACAGTATTTAGGTTGCAACTTAAATATTTAGGTTTCCAGTGAAATATATTTATGTTTGTGGTTGTAATGTGACAAAATATGGAAAAGTTCAAGGGGTATGAATACTTTTGCAAACCACTGTATGTGTTGGGAATAACTCTTAAGCTAATATCACACCAAATTTTAGCAAAACATCTTTAACATTGACTGAATTAGAGCAGTTTTTGTGTTTTTTTTAAGATTGGGCAGCTGCAGTGGCCATCTTGGAACTGGGCTGACTTCAAATTTGAAACAGTTATAGAAGTTCATCCACTGATTATTTCCTGAAGTTCTCATAAATGTCCATGCATCGGTTCATGAGATATTTTGCTAACACAGTTGACTGATCACACAGAGGCAACCTTTTACAAAAAAAAAAAACTAATTTTATGCAGTGCTAAGGATCAGTCTCTGGGTATTAAAATCTTAGGAGAATAAAAGTAAAATTGACAGAGTTGAAGCCATTTTTGTGCTTTTCACTGTCTTTCAAGTTTCATTAAAATTCATCCAGTGATGGTTTAATTTTTTGTGCCAACAGGAATAAATAATAAACCAGGCATCGGGACATTGTTGCCCTCAAAGAGACGATTGTATGAAGTCGCAGCACCCAGACTTAGTCATCTAAAATTTGATGCGAGTTGTGGAGGAAAGAAAAAGTAGCTCGAGCGTTGAGCCTGATGAAAGTGGGAGGAGGAGGAAGAGGTGATGGGGGGGAGAAAAATGCTGTAAAGCAGGTTGTCGTCGCAGCTGTTCGAGCTGCATTAACAGCAACTTCCTGCTTTTAAAGGTCAGGGCTGCAAACCTGAGGTGGGGAAGTGATGGACAGATTGTTATTAAAAGATAAACCGCGGGGCCCACTTCAAACCAGAAACTAACCAAACATCTCCATATAAATAAAACAATACAAACATCCAGTTTGACTTCTAAAACTTTATTTTTAGTTAAAAAGAAGCCTGAACCGCACACTGAGCCATCAGGGTTGCATGCCAAGTAGTAAGATGCTGGATAATCGAGGCATTCTCTTCATGAAATGAGCAAAAAGAAAAAAAAAAAGGGGGAAGGAAAAGCTACCAGCCCAGGAGGGAGGAGAGGGTGCGAGGCCTTGAGCAGAGGAGCCCGCTCTGCTCGCGAGCTGGTGCGACTCCCCCGAATGAAAGAGTAACAGGATTAACGAGCACGTCTCTGTGATCGGAGAGCAGAGAGAGTGGCCAAAGCCTGGCCCAAAGTCTCTTGATAAAAAAAAATAAAAATATGAATTGAACATATATATTTGATAAAGATGTTCCACCCCTGGAGGCTGCAGTAACATAATCCCCCCMACCAGCTCTGCTCTGTTACCCGGTTTCTTTGGTGTTGATAGAGACATCAAAGCCAGCGTCAAACGAGACAGGCAGCAGTCGCTGGGCCTTGGCTGTAATTGGTTGAACTGAGAAGGGAGGGGAAGACTCTGGTAGATTAATAATGAATGTGCTGTGCTGAGTTTAGAGAGAGAGGCCTTGCCGGAGTCTGCATTGCCTTCTTTCTCATCTAAAATCAACTCCACAGCACCTGAAACTTAAACCTGAATCAATAGGGCTTCCTTTCTTTTTTTTTTTTTAGTATGTTCAAAGCTTTGGTTCTTCAAATAGCTTGAGAGTCTTGCATATCAAAAGATGAGACTTGATGGACACTCAAAGAAATAGTCTGTGGTACAAACTGTGAATTTTCCTTCATAGCCACCTGAATCAAACAGTACTTCCTGCAAACTTCACACACACACACACACACACACACACACACACACACACACAC